TTTTTTTTTTGTATGTGGTGCTGAGGATCGAACCCAGGGCCGCACGCATGCCAGGCGAGCGTGTTACAGCTTGAGCCACATCCCCAGTCCATAACTACCCATTCTCAAGGGAACTAATCCAGTCCCACTAGACCTGTGTTAATCTCTTCTGGAAGATGTCTCCCCTGATCCTCCCCTGACCTAATTAGATCCTACTAGGCCCCACCGTTAAAGGTTTCACCTCAGCATCACCACACCAAGAACCAAGTCTCCAGCACACATAAATCTTCAAACCATTGCACTTGTTAAATAATTGTAGGAAGAAAACCAACATTTTTTTTTTTTTTTTTTTTTTTTACTGCAGTCAACATATCAGTCTTGGAGCTTGCACTATTCAGAATTTCTCTCTCTTAATCCTGATCTGAAGATTATGTGAGAGGTAGCCACATTCCTTTGAATGCTCATTCCTTTGACTTATCTTTTGGATTATCTCCTTGGGAACCATCACTTTTTTCAAGTCATTTTGCACTTTGAGAATTAATTAAGAGATAATTTCTTAATTTCTTGATAGAGGTTTTTTTTTTTTTAACAATCGTAGTAAATACACATAACACAAAATTTTACCAACTCAGTAATTTCCATGTGTACAGTCAGTAGTGTTAGTTTATTCATACTGTTGTGCAAGCAATCTTCAGAGATTTTTCAGCTTGCAAAACTAAAAGTACATCCATCAAACAATAGCTTCCCATTTCCTCCTACCTGCAGCCCCTGTAAATACCATTCTACTTTCTGTCTCTATGAATTGGACTACTTTAAGTATCTCATAAAGCTGGGCATAGTGGCACATGTCTGTAATCTTAGTGACTTGGAAGGCTGAAACTAGATGATTGCTAATTAATTAATTTATATATATATATATATGCGCCAGGATTTGAGCTCAGGGGTGCTTTACCATTGAGCTATATCCCCAGTTCTTATTTTTAATTTTGAGACAGATTCTTGCTAAGTTGCTGAGGCTGGCCTCAAACTTGCAATCTTCATGCTTCAGACACCTGAGTTGCTGGGATTACAGGCAAATTGCACTGTGCCCAGCTTCATTTTACTATTTAAAATGCACTAAAGTTGAGSTGGGGCTGGGGCTGGTGTTCAATGGTAGTGCACTTGCCTGGCATGTGTGAGGCACTGGGTTCAATTCTCAGCACTGCATATAAATAAATGGAGTAAAYGTCTATCAACAACTAAAAAATATTTTTAAAAATGCATTAAAGTTTTTGGGTTTTGTTTGTTTTGATTTTTGAGGCCTGACCTGTAGTCATTTGCAAATGACCACAGGCATTTACCAATGGAGTATATTCTAGATTTTCAAGGTATGGATTTTTATATCTTTTAATTCAATCTAGTTTACTAATTAATAAATCAAATTCTTTAAATGCTTTTTAATTATACAGTTTATTTATTAGTAATGAGCTAAGAGGGGCTGGGGATGTGGCTCAAGCAGTATCTCACTCGCCTGGCATGCGTGTGGCCTGGGTTCGATCCTCAGCACCACATAAAAACAAAGATGTTGTGTCTGCCGAAAACTAAAAAATAAATATTAAAATTCTCTCTCTCTCTCTCTCTTTAAATAATAATAATAAGCTATTTATTTAATGAATAATTAAAAATTTAATAATTTAATGAATTTAAATTACCTACTATTATTGTATTTTTGTCTATTTCTTTACATATTTCCTATTATTCTGTTGCTTTATGAATTCTAACATTATATTATTTTATGCATAAGTATTTATGACACATATTCATTGTAATTCTCAGTCTTTATTGTTCATGTATTCTTCTGTGTCTTGTTTTCTGTTTTATTTTTATTTTATTTTATTTTTTTTTGTGTGTGTATGTGAATTTAACCATCTTTAATATTAATATCATAACCCCTGTTTTCTTGTGTTTCGGTTTGCATCATGGCACTTGTTTTCTATTTTTTCTTTCCCTTTTATGAGGAACACTGTTTTTTTGATGTACCTCTTGCACATGGCAATAGTTGGGTTTTGTTTTGTGACTCTGAGCTGTTTCAAAAGACTGAAATTACTAGGTCAAAGGTTTAAAAAACAGAGTAAAAATGGGAGTTCATAACCCACTTGAATCAAATGTATGAAATATGATATGTCAAGAACTATGTAATGTTTTGAACAACCAATAATAAAAATTTTTAAAAAGGTTTAAAAAAAAACACTTTAGTTGCTTTTGACCCCCATGACCAAATAAATTGCTTTTCACAGGTTGGACCACTTTATCCTGTCACCAACCATTTGGAAGCAAACCATTTCTCCACCACTGCCAGCACAGCTATTATACTTCTGATTGCTTAAATTTTTAATAGGTGAAAATGGGACCTCATTGTTCTTTCACTTGTTTTTCCTGGCTTCTGAAGTTCTACTTTAAGTAAGTTAAGATAGAAGTATGATTAAGTCAAAATGAAATATCCCTTTTTTAGTATCTCTAATAAGATTGATGGGTAGGGGAGTTTCTTATTGATGATTGCCATGGCAACACTGGATCAATCACTTCCCACAGACTCCTCAGCCCAGCCTTAGGATTTTCCTGGGAGAAATTATCTATGTTCCTGCTTCCCACCCCTATACTTTGCTTTGTTTCCTTCTGTAGTAAATAGGCAACATAACATAAAGGGAAGACACAGAGTTGAGAGTTAGATTGAATGAATTCCAATTCTAGTTATTAACTATTAAATTTGATAATAATAGTTGATAATAATAATACATTGAATTTATTAAATTCTTACCATTTATTAGCTGATGATTTATGGCAGTTTGTTACTCCTCTCTGTGCCTTGGTTTCCTGAAATTATATCTCCAAGGATATTCAAGATTACATTCGGGTCTGGGGTTGTAGCTTGTTGGTAGAGAGATTGGGAGCATATGTGAGGTCCTCGGTTCAATGCCCAGTACCAAGAGGAAGAAAAAAGAAAAAGATTACAATAGTAAACTGGGTGCCACAAAGCATGCCTGTAATCCTGGTTTCTCAGGAGGGTAAGGCAGGAGGACAGCAAATTCAAGGGCAGCCTGGGAAATTAGCTGGACCCTGCCTCAACAAACAAACCAATCAACCAAAAAAGAAAATAAGAAAATAATGTCATTTAGTGGTAGAGCACCCTGTGTTCTATCTCCAGGACTGAAAATGAAAGGGAATGGTGCAAAATAATTAACTTATGCAAAGGACTCAGAGGTTTTATCGCTGGCTCTGCCTCTGGAAAATGCTCCTTTTCCTATTACGACTATGAGGCTTTTGGTGGAACTGATTTCTTCCTTATATAGTCCTGCTTCCTTAGCCGCTACTAAGGTTTGGTCTTAGGCCAGGGGCAAGATCCTAGCAAAAACAGAGCCTATCAAAATCCTTTCTCTGACATTGAGACATGAGATAGGAAGTCTTTGATGCCTCCCTGTGGAAAAATCTCTCAGATAGAAGACCCAGGCTGCCAAGTTTCCAGCCTGTTGGAGGAAGCTGGGCTTGTAAGAATGAGGCTGGTGAGTGGAGAGAGAAGCAGACATTAGAGAGGGAAGGAGAACTTCGCATTGTTAGCACTGTGATAATCACTGGTTCTGGCTGTTCCCAAATGTATCTTACGAGACAATAAACATCTCGTTTTCTCTATGCTCACTTGTATTGAGTTTCCACCATTTGCAACCAAAAAAGACTTTTAATATACTTCTTAAAGTACCTTAGGACAGTAGATTGTGAGTTCTCCGGCCTGGCCATCCACCTTTCTGAGAAAAGCAAGAAGTTCTTGCAAGACCCTCCCCAAGACAGACAGACAGACAGACAGACACACACACACACACACACACACACACATGCACGCACGAACACACGCATGCACACACACAGAAGTTGACGGCAACTCCCACTCCAACTGGAGTGGACTGTAGTTTCTTCCCTGCCATCTGCCTGCACATGCCTTTACTTCTCCACACACACCAAAAGACAGCTGCTCCAATGCCCAGGCCTTAGGAACTGCACTTGCTAAACAGGATGTTATTCCGGAAATCTGTGCCCTTCTCTGTACACCCCTTGTCCTTTTTTTCACTGCCCTATTCAGTAACTTCACAAATATATAATGAACACCTGCCAAGAACCGTGTCAGGCCGGGGGCCCCAGAGAGGCAGCAAACAGTCCCTGCTGTTAAGGAAGCCACAGGCTTGTGGCCGTCAGGCTGTCAAAAGACAGCTCCAAGACAGGCAGTGGGATGAGTGTTGAACAGATGTTTTTGCCAAGTGCCGCAGGAGCTCAGAGGAGGTTTCGTCACTTGTTGCCTGAGATGATTGTCTGGCTGGTCTACCAGCTTCTCCCAGCCCAGCCCGCCCTGCCTGCTGCTGCCAGAATGTCTTCCTGAAAACAGTTGTGCCAGTCCTTCTCTCTCTCAGGCCTAAGCCTAAATTCCCTAGCCTGCAAAAACCCGAATCCAGATATTTCTGCAACCTAGTTTCTCAGCCCTGCCATCCAGGTTCCCCAATCACAAACTGTCCCCACAAGTCTAAGCAGCCCGCTCACCATCAGTGTTTGTATTCAGCATTTTCCCACCACTGTGTCTCCAGTCTCTGAATGTTTCAATTGTACACACCTCCCAAGGTGTAGGAAGGCAGGTGGATTTTATTCTCCTGTGATGTTCCTGGTTGTCAGGCTGGAAAGTTATGTTGAAAAGAATTCTGTGGATATAACTGGACTCAGTGAAAGAATAAAGGGATCAGTTTGCAGAATCTGCCACGGATACCAAATTTGGCATGTGTGCACTAGGGGTATAACTCAGCAGAAGAACACTTGCCTAGCAAGTGTAATGCCCTGCATGCCAGCACTGGAAACACACCACACACACACACACACACACACACACACACACACAACCTAATAAATAAAAATTGTGTGTGTCTGTGTGTGTGGTGATGGTGGTGGGGGTGGGGGGAAACAACACCCTTGGTGTGCATTTGCAGACTTTGTCCTAGGGCTGTTTTAATGTCACCCCATCCCCATGAAACCTTCCTGACTCCTCCTAGTGAAATTAATCTCTTCTTTTTCTGAACTTTCATGATCCCCCTTCTATGCCTCTGCCAGAGCACAAATGGTTCCTCCTTTTGATGGTGCACATATTTTTTCTGTTAGAAGAGACAGATGGTGTCCTATGGGGTGTGGAACAAGGTAGGGATCCCAAAGCTGTTTACTGAATCTTAGGACCATGTGAAACAACATTTGACCTTCAGCAGGATGGGTGCACAGCTGCTTAGGTGCCTCAAGTTTCCTGTCACGAAGAGCTGGCTTTATACACAGGCCTTTGCCCAGCATAGACTCTAAAGATGGTGTTATAGTGGCCATGTTTTCACTCCTGAATCAATTTCCTGCATGGTTGCTGCTGTCTGACCTGTCATTTCCTATCTTCTTATAGGTCTATGACCACTGAGTGCTGGGAGCTCACTGAAGGCTGGCCATTCATTCTTTTACTCATGAAACCACTCAGTGGCCAGTTCTGTGCTTGCTGTTAGGGACACAGTGCCCTACCTTTGAGCTGATCTCTGACTTGAAGAGAGTGGGAAAGATGTTGAAGAAAGAAAGCCAGGATATAAGGGGAGGTGATGTGGGGCCTAAAAAAAGAGCTTAGAGAGTGCCAAGGGGGCACAGCAATAGGCTTGGGGTGGGGGATGTGGTCACTGGAGGTTGTTGACATACCCCCCCCMCACACACACACACATACTCACTAAGTTCCTTTTTCCTCTGTGCTCCTCAGTACCTCATAACTGAACCCTTTGACTACCATAGCTGCAAGCTCTGTCCTCCTCAATTCTGGGACCTGCACTGATAGAGGCAGGAAATATTTAAATAGCCTCAGTACATCCCCCCTAACCAGGTCCCATCTCACACAAACCTCAAGAGCTCAGCATCAATTACCCTACCAGATCTGGGATCTGGATGCTGGACTCTCTTGGGTCTCCTCTGTTGCTCTTCATACCTGGGACTCTGGGCCCAGGTAACCACCCAGACTCCTGAACTGCATGGGACACTGGTTTCCCTATCTTCAGGTTATGGTTGTTGCTGTGGGCATCTGGGATGATCTTAAATTATTATAAGCACTTCTAGAACTATTGGCCAATTCACTGCACTATCCCTTCACCCCGTGGGTTCCCAGCTCTGCCCTAGGGACTTCCCCTACCCTTCCACCCACCCTCACTGGCCCCCTACAATCATGTTTAGCTGCCAAACTCAGCTGTAGAACTGAATACCTCTGCTGGCAGGAGACAGGCTGGCTCCAGAAAGCTGGCTGGAGAGAAATGCTGAGGATCACGTTTCTTCAGCCTGTGCCAAATATTATTCAGATGTAGCTTTTCAGACAGACACAAATTGCTCATCCAATAAACACAGAAGGGCTAATCCCAGGACATTTATCAAAGTGGGGAAAGATGAGAGAAAGACAGTTACAAGAGGCCTTTGAGAGCTGGCCTGGTGTGGCTGGCCCACAGGGAGGTGGTGAGACTTCCACGTACTCCTGGGGTTTTCTCCTCAGAGGGTCTGAAACCCAGCACCTGGGCTTTGGGATTTGCTGTCATCATGTCACACAAAGCCTGCATTGGTGTATACACTTCCCAGTGGTGAACAACAATGAATAAATCTACGTSGGCCAGGCTGCCTTTGTCACCAAACAGACCTCACCTCCTGGTGGCTGTAAGGACTGTATAAGCTGCCCCCACCCAGCATACACAAAACATGCTCGTGCCTCTTCTGTCTTTGAGTTCTCAGTCCCTCCTAACTTCTGGCTGAGGGCCTAACCTCTGAAGCCCAGAGGGAGCAAGAATTAGGTGAGGCCTCTAGAGATAGCCTGGGCCTTCCGTCTTCCCTGTACAGGGTCCACCCCTTGCTACTGGCACTCTAAAGTATACCCAGTAGAGAGCCCCTCTCTTCCCCAGGAGGAGGAGGTAGTGACTAGATCAGTATGAGGGCATGAAAATAACCACTGGCTTTTATTTGTTCAAAAATTTAAAAAAWTAGAGCCAAGAGAATGGTCAGATACAGTGGCACACCTGTAATCCCAGCTACTTGGGAGGCTGAGGAGGCCTCCTAATTCAAGGCTAGCCTTGGGCAACTTAGCCAGACCCTTTCTSAAAATATGACAAAAATAAAAAGGGATAGGGATAGGTTCAATACCCAGTACTTTGTGGGAAAAAAAGAAAAAGCTGAGAGAATGAAATTCTCTTTAGAAACAAACTATAACCTCCAGTGGCAATAAAGAAGGGACACTGTGGCCCTCAGGACAGCATGGGAACAAGATGTCTTCTGACATATCTGGTTCCAACACAATCAGAAAGGCTGAAAGGAGTTCCCAGATAGTATTCCCACAAAATCATGGTAAATATGCCATTCGTGTTATTACTTTTCAGATAAGGTACTGAGAAGTTAAGACAATTTGTCCAAGGCCACCCAATTATTTAATAGAAACTTTTTTGAAACTGTTTAATGAGACAGTCCTAAATTGTCTATAGACTTAAAGAAAGATATGGTAGTTTCAGAAATCAGTTTCAGTGGGAATTCTTTTTTTAAAATTATTTAATTTATTAAGGTTTTAGTTGGACACAATATCTTTATTTTACATGTATGTGGTGCTGAGGATCGAACCCAGTGCCTCATGCTAGGTGAGTACTCTACCACTGAGCCACAACCCCAGCCCTCAGTGGGAATTCTTAAGAGGGTGGGGTTTAGAGTTTTGGTGTCCTTAGGCTTGGAATGATATCTTAAGGGTACAATGCTCAGGCAGGATTTCATTGAGGACCTGGGGTCTATGTAATTAGGGTGACTAGCCTCCCAGTTCTCCAGGGTCTGAGAGGGCTCCTGGAATGTAGGACTTTCCACTTTAAAACTGGGATAGTAATGGGCTG